ATTCACGCTTAAACCTTCCCCAATGCTTGTGTCTTGGGCTCTGTTTCGTGAAACTAAATATGGTCCTTTTAGCAGGATGCCTTGAGCAGAGGAGGAAGTGTGGATATGACTGTATCCAACTTACCATTAAAACAAACTTTGCATTTTAATGTTTAGAAATGGGAAGCGAGGGGCCCTACGTTGAGTTACACTAAGGAGATGTGCGGTCAACAAAAGGAGCACTCGGCGTGTAATAAAACATCTCTGTTCTCATTAACAGGCTGGCGAAATTGTCAGGCCTGAGCGTTTCTAAGCATTTTGTTGCTCTCTACAGCTACCAGTCATCCTACAGGATGGCTTATCTTTATCCAACATATCAAAACATTCAGCATTTCAAGACGATTATGTTGTTATTCTATTCAACCTTGCATTAAAAAGGTACATATTTTCTAAGGTGAGGTTTTCTAGATGGTATTTCAACACAGTGACCCGGTGCCTGTAAAACAGCTTCTCTCGAAATAAATGAGGAAATACAGGCATACTGTGGAAGTGCAGCCACTCCATGTCTTAAAAGTGTTGGTTCTTTTCTATTTTTTCTGTCGTGCACCTATTGAGACGGGCATCGCTGGAGAAAAATGAGAGCAGATCAACTAGTTGCACCAATTCATAATCAATAAAAAGCTAAACACTTAAGCAGAAAATATGTCACAGATTTGTCCCCTGGCAACGCAGCTATTTTTACCTTGCCATCATCATCAGAAGCCACATTCTGACGGAAATCATTTGCTTGAAGCAGCCGCGATATATAAACCCTATGGGGTCTTGTGATTCAGATTTAGGAATATCAGCTACCGAAGGTTTAGAGGCATTGTGCATTAGTATGTATTGAGACCTCATTGCAGGTGGCAAGCAGCTGGACTTTTTTAAAAAATAAAACTTCCCAAATAAATGTGCAATGCTTGTTTCCGGGCAAATACGCATTACACTTAATCGAATCATCCTTAACATGTTATGAATTAGCAGAAAGGGAACCTGTGAGTATTTAGTATATTTGTTTTGCATTTCCACCGGCCAACAGAATAGTGGCATTCCTTAACTACTCCTCTTTAACTTGCATGAAGAAAGCACGGTATGTTGCTAAATCTCTTTTCACCCCCGCCGCAGAGAAACAACTTTAATCCTTGTTAGAAAATTGCCGAGTCTGGGGCTGACAAAGAGCTCATGCTTGTTCCATTGTTCGTGCTCCGGGGCCCCGAGAGCAGAGCCCTTTACAGCTGCAAGGATCCCGCCCGGCTCAGCTGCACTATTTAGGAGAGGAGGTTTGTCAATTTCTATTGACAATGGAGAGAGTTTTTCAGGGCCTGTAGTAGTGCTGGCACAGTTGGGGATCAATGCCAGCCATTCAGGCTGGCCCCTCTTTCATTGCTTTGGTTTGTTAATTCAAGACTAAAGGTCCGCGGAGGGGGTTCGGGGTGTTTAAGAAAGCTGATGAACTGTTTAAGAAAGCTGATGAACTGCAAGCGTTTATAGCCGTGGTGTGGCAATTTCCATAGTCAGTGGCAACTCCGGGCACAGAGGGAGCTGTGTCCTTGTTGACCCTCTTGTTATTAAAAATGCACAAGTGCTGTGCTTCTCGATATTTCAACGCTCCTTCATTGTCAATACCACCTTCTGAGCCCTTCAGCTTGTTGCTTGCTCTAAAGATCTCCTTAGATTGGGTTTGAAAACTTCACCTTAAACACTAGATTAGACTGATGTTCTGTTTTCCGTGCTCCTGTTGATTTGTTGAACCTTCCCAGGGCTGGAAAGCAAGTAGCAGCTTGATGGGGAGACGGGCTGCTAATATGATTTACCAGTCTACAGTCATGCACAATAAGTGTGAATAAATACAGGGGTCTCGCAGAGTCAACCCTAGCCTTTCCTTTCCTTTTATTTTTGCTTTAAAGGAGATATCTCAAGAAAATGAAGTGAGTAATACATGCCCTTACAGGAGCTGAATGAACCACAAAAGAAAAAAAAAATCTATATTTTGTTAAAGTGGTAGGCTGCTGTCATGGCTTGGTGTAGGGGAAAAAAAGAGGAGGATATACACTGACTGCTTTATTCCAAAGCAAAGAATAAAGCAATAATGCCACAGCCCGGGCTCTGGGGCCAGCCACAGTGCCCCTTCCTTGTCAGCCCCTGAAGGGAAAAGTGAATAGTCAACCACATTCTTTTAAAAAATTAACTTTTCCAAAAACGAAAGGGCATTTTCTAACACTCAGACTTCACTGCACATTCATCCTTTTCAAAAAATGTCCCTTTGTTTTGGGAGGTTGGGTTGGGTGGTTAGGTTTGGTGGGGGCAGGGGCTGAAGCTAAACTATCATCTTTGACTTTTTTCTCAAGAAGAAAACCTAGGACTCACCCTATTTCAGCGCCCCAAAGAGAAAAATATGCCTGCCAGCTCCAGAAATAGGAACGTGCTAGAGATTTGTTTTGTGGTTGTATGTGTGTGTGTGTGTGTGTGTGTGTGTGTGTTTCATCATATATAAAAAAGGAGAGTATTTTAGTTACTTTATTCTTAGTAGCAACATAAACTGAGCTACTGCTTTCTCTTCATTTGCTTGATTTAGCTGAAGTTCTTCGAAATGCGTTGACATGGGAACCAAAAATTATGCATTCTTATCAGATACTATAATTTTTCTTATAGAATTTTCATATAGAATAATCTGTTGGTCTTTAATGTAAGATTATAGTAAAGCAGCTTTAAAATTCTACTTAACAATAGTTCTCCTTTTTCACTGTGGTTTTGTTAACTTTGGATCATTTATTCTAAAAAAATTTTTCTAAAATTATAATTTTGTCATTTTTATTAAAGATTACCATGTTAAAAATAAATTTCTGTGTTACATTAGGTTTCTTTTTTTATTGCAAAGTAACCATTAGTATTATTCGTATGTAATAGAAAAATGAAGTAAATTAATTTTAAATTATGGAAGGATTTTTTAAGAAAAAATACATATGGAATAGTTTAAGAAAGTATTTTCATTTTCCTCAAATTCATACAACTGTCCATTTTTATAGTACCTGCAGTCAGACTAACTAGTTAGTATGTTATGCTAGACTTCATACAATTTATCATATTTTGTTCCCCCCAACAAAGAGAAAATTTTAAAATTCCTGCAGAAGGAATAGAGTTTAAGATGCATAATCATCATGATTATATTTTAGCTTTCCAATTATGTGGAAAGGAGTAAGGGTCTTCATTCAGTATACTCGTCTTCAGTATCACCAATCCGGTGAGTGTTTACCTGTGTTAAAACTTAAGATGTTAAGTTTTGTGATAGAACTTAAGATGTTAAGACTAAAAATAATTTGAAACAAGAAAGAATAGAATTTAAATGGTATCAGAAATAGAGTTTATAAAAGATTTTAGATTTAATATGTCAGCTGAAGTACTGACTTCATTAGCAATTCATTTTTTAAGAGTTTAGGAATTTATCTCATTTTATAAAACTTATTTCTGATACTTTTACATATCTTAAAATTAAGAAAGTATTCTTCAGGAAAGAATGAAGTTAGGTACATGAATAACATAGTTTTTAAAGATCATAGTCTATCACAAATTTCTAAACTGTTCATTCATCCATTTCATATCACAGTATTTAGTAAATCAGTCCTTCATTTTATCTAGCATATCTCATTTTATGCATGTATGTTCAGTGTACTAACAGATTCATAGAAATAATCCTGATGAATATGAAATCAAATTCATTCTTATGCTTAAAATACCATTTCTTATACTAAATTTTATTAGAACAATGTTACTGCAAGTCCAGATGAATTTCAGATTTATTTGTATCCTTTAAGGTTTCTCTTAGAAGTTGAATTTACTGTTTTATTTGTGAAGAAAAAATTTTAAGATTTTTTTTCTATGTTCAAATACATACAAACATATGTATATCCATGTGACCTATAGTGTCACTGTGTTTGTGTATACAAACAAGGTATGAGATTTCTTTTTCAAAAACTCTCGTCATCTCCTGAATGCTGCATGGACTCGGGTATGTCTCATGGTTACCTGAGTGAGTAGCCTGATTGTTCTTACAGAATCACCTAAACCGAGCTCTGGTGCATGGTAGGTACTGAATCTCTTAAAATGTCACCACCAACAGATTGCCTTTTTTTTTTTTTTTTTGACAACTGGAACAAAATTCCTCCTTTTGCTATACTTACAGACATTACATATGAATAGAAAATTACATGTAAGAAGAATTTCAGTTATCTTTTAAAGAGAGTTGTAATAAACAGAAGCAAAGGAACCATCCAAAACCCTTGCCAGATGGAACAGAAACTTTAAAATGAGAGCTGTTTTGTGATTCTTATAAGACACAAAAGACACAAGAATTCTATCCTGATGATGTTCACGCCTACGACCTGACATTTTCATTTTAGGTGGTTTTAAAAGATTTGGGCAAATACTTGACAATCAATAGTGTGTACATGTGTGCTTGAGGATTGTAGTTTATTAAGCTGTGACTGTTTTTGCCATCACTCCTTTAAAATGTTATTTCTAGGCACTGACGACATGCATTATGGCATAATGCACCTATTCTTGGATTTTTACATAACATACAAGCTAATGGCATATTTTCCTTTGAAAATTGTTTACCTGTCTTTTCCTGTTATTTGGCAGTCCATTCAGCCCCATAATGCGTATTTAGTACCCATTGTTACTACAAATTACAAAGCAGGCCAGTAGGCAGCAAGTGCGAAAACACTGTTTCCCATGAATATGTTACAGCTGAAAGCCTGTAATGTTAATTCATGGGAAGAACAGGCCAGGTCAACCTAGCAGATTCTCTAGCTAAACATACAATTCTGTGAACAGGAAATTATAGCATTATTGACTTCAAGTGCTGATATGTGGTCATTTCAGAGTGTTTCATTACCCTCTCATTACCAAATCTGTTACATGAATACTGCAGAGGTTTTTTTCTTTCCTCTCCTCCTCCCCTCTGCCCCCATCCCTCTTTCCAGCAATGGTACAGCAGCTCCATGAAAGTCATCTGTGTGTGGCTGACAGACAGATTAGACCTTCAGCTTCATATTTACCAACTGAAGACGCTCATCAAGATCGTGAAGGTAAACAAAATGTGTTTGGATGTGAATTGCCCAGCAAGCTATAAAGAGTCATGGCAAGATATTGACATACAAATAAAGCATCTTATTTGACAGGATTCAGTGGGTTTAAGTACTTTTCAGACAACACTTTCAGCAATGATGTGCTGCTGTTTATTCCATTTTCAGTTAAGATTACTCAATACATATAAACTTACCTTCTTTGCTCTAATAAATAAAAAATATTTTGTTATCAAGTAATCACAATTCTATATAACATACAGAAAGCCCCTAGCACATTTACCTGAATGTAGGCTGTCCACAATAATTTATATTTTCTTAGATGAAGAAATGTTTTCTCATGATGTATTTCCTCCATGTATCCTGGGAGCATATAGCATGAGGAGGGTTTATAATTTGTCAGTAGGATGAGGAGAGCCTGACACAAAAGTGATGCACTGTCACTGCCTGAATTCTTTGGAAACATGTCTCTTCCTATATGTGAGGGTCATTGTTTTCAGTGCTGGGGACCATCAAAACTAACTGATGTCATATCATGTCAGCAAGGCCATGTTGACTTTTGCTCTTGAAGAGAAAAGGTATAGCACATGTTATGTTTAGTGAATAGAAGCTTTACTTCAACCTTAGTACCATTTGTCAAATTAGTACATACCTATACCTTATACTGGCATATACACATACATAAAATTATGTGTAATTATATATGTATGTGTGTTCATATATGTATTTATGTAGATGTACATATTTATGTGTATGCATATATGTATACACATATACATACTGATTTTCAAAATGGCATTATCAACACCACCTAGGAACTTGCTAGACATGCTGACTAGTTATCTCACCCCAGATCTACTGAATCAGAAACTCTGAGAGTGGGGCCAAGCAATCTGCATATAGTTGTTCAAGTTTAAGAACTACTGTTAATATCATTAAAGGAAGTTCTGCCACATTAAAATATTTTCCATCATTCTCTTGGTTCCTGATACCTAATTAGAATACAAATTATTTTGTGCCTTAGACATACAGGTTATCACAGATTGGAAAGACCCACAAATAGCAAAGTTCTGTTCCAAATAAGAAGTTGGCAAACCTGGCACATAGAACCAGATCTGTTATGGCACGAATAACAATCACGATTAGTCAAAAATAACATGTTACATGATAGCCACCCACTAATTTTAGATGCTGCCCATCAGGTATTATTTATTTCACAAAGAAACTGAAAGCACGCTAAGATGCGTTTACATTTGCCTCAATTTCTTTATAGTTTCTTCCTTGTTTCTGGAAAAGTGACGCGGAGAGCTTTCAAATGAAGTTTGTCTTTCATAAAAGAGAATCAAGATAATCTGGTTCTTACCTTTTAAAAATATGTATATGTTAATGTTGCAGTCTATACTGTTGGGATAAGCTGGCTGCCCTTACGATCGCTTCATTTTCAAACTGATGTCCACTGGGGTTAGGGTGTCAGAAGTTACATATTCAGTCGATTAATATAAGTTGATAGATTAAGCTCTTTACTGTGTTTTTAGGATAAATACCTCTTTTTTTTAGCTTTTTTTTTGAATTTTCAATTAGCCATCATTTGTTTCTTTCAAAACTATTTCTTTTCTCACATTCTCAAGTCATTACAGTTAAGAAACAAGCACCGAAAATGTTTTAGCAGAAAACAATTAATACTTTCTTGAATTTTACAGTGACACTTCCATTGTACTCTAAGTTGATTTATATTAACTTTAACATATTTTTCATTATGGCTGCCAATAGCTAAGATTGATAAGAATGAAATTAAATTTCATGAATATGTTTGACTTTCAACGTTTTGTTTTTCACAAGCAGACTCAGCCAATGCTTTCTTGGGGCCGATGTAGTTATTCAAGTCATGGGGCTTTATTTAATAATTTAAAATAATCATTTTCACAATAAAAAATCAGGATAAATTAATAATTTAGTTCTAATGATTTTTTTCTGCTTTGAATATAAAGAGTCTTTAACCAATTTCAGACATAAATTCGTCATTTTTCAAACCTATATGGTTCTGTTTATAATGATCGTTTTCCAATGAATTTAAAGAGAATTGTATAGAATTATAAAGGCCTGATAGGCTTTTCTTTCATCCAAACCCCTTAGACTTGGCCTTCATGTGATAGCAGAGTTGTTCACCCTCCCCAGGAGTCAAGGTACTCCACCTTGGCTATTTAGTCCTTACTACTAGCAAGCATTGTCATTCTTCTATGCCCCTGGAGACCCAGACACTATCTACATTTACATGATAGCCAACTTTGTCCCACAGAAATACTTAGACATGACTTGCTTTATTTATGTTGTGTGTGAGGGGGGGAATTCTGGTAAGATTTTTCACAAAATGTTTAGGACTAAGAAGCTATTTGCAAAGTTTTAACATCAGAATGACTTACTTGAGGAGGGAAGAAATAGAATCCTCAAATAATCAAGATGGTGGATTGTGTTCTCTCTAGTAGCCCTATGACATTTCCAAGCCGTTCACATAAAGGAGAAAAGACAAGTGAGCAGCACACTGTGGCAGACACTTAGCTTAAATAAGAGCCAAGCAGACCTTCACTGGCAGCCACGGAGGCTGTCCAAGTGAAAATAACATTTTATGAATTCTAAAACAAGAGGGAGATTGCAAGGATACCTGCCCCTAACTGCTGATTGCTTACTAATAAAACAAGGAAGTGGAGTTTTAATTACTTATAAACTAGAAAGCCTTCACAATACAAGTCTGTCCCTTCCAACTGATTGATAATTAAACTAAGGAAAGTCATTCCACAAAATAAGAAAGTAGGACTCACAAACCACATAATTATCAGTGGGGCAATAATATTTTAGATCAGATAGGTCATCTGTAGATGAAGATTTGGGTGTTTTAATCTATTAGACACTTAGAGGCCTGAACACAGATCTCTATGGTTATAATATCTTGTATTATATATCTGCTTCTGGATTCTTTACACAAAACTTACCTTTCAGAGTTACTTCATAGTTTTTAATATAAATGATCATAAATTTTGATGTAATATTTCTAAGGTACCATCTTAGAGATTATCAGGGTGGTGGGTTGTGTGTGTCTTAAAATATTAGAATCCAAGTGAAAATAGTTGTGATAACTTAAGAAAACCACACTCTGCATCTAAACTTGGCTTGCTGTTGCGATACTAACTTCAGATTCTATACAGTATTCCTCACAGTTCAGCTTATTTTTAGATTTGGTGGACTTTTCGAATATGAATTTTATTTGTAACTACTGATTATCCAAAGTAAAAAAAGTATTCACCCTCCATACTTACTTTTGACAAATCACTTCGGAAACTTGGTGTGACAACATGGGGCATAAGTCATATGAAATAAGACAGGAAGATAAAACATGAAAATACCAATGGGCCCACTACCTTGTATCTAGAAGGCTATTGGCAAGCCGGTATGTATATCAAGAGAAGTCATGTCATCCATCAGCACTTCCAGCTCATGTGAAGAAGCTCCTTTAGCTTAACCATCTGAATAGTATGATATTTGCCTTCTACTATGTTGAGTGAATTTAAACATCCTTTAATGTGAATTTCTAGATATCAGAGTTATAATATTGGTCCATCAAGTACAACATTCCTTCTTATTTTACTGTATTCATCTATTAAGTGCAAACCTTCACTCCCCACCCCCCAAAAAAAGATGACCATTAGCAATCAGTAGTATATTGATATGTATAGAAAATATTTTGGGGCCATTTCATTGAAATATGACTCTTAATACTCTAAAGTGAAGATAGGGCAGTTAAATTATTTTTAAAGAAATTTCATTTTTTAAAAATGGCCTTAGAAGTGTCTCAACAGAATTGAACTCTTCATTTGTTCTTTGTTTCCCCATTGAACTAACTCTAGACTTTTTCCTACAACTTTAAAAATTAACACTAAAATACCTATATTGTTTAATCATAGAAAAATCATATCTGAAGGAAATCACACTTAAGGGGAAAGTGAAATTAAGGGAAGCTTTACAGGTTACATATCTGAAGTGCCACATAACCCAGAGTTCTTTTGTTCTTGTTTTTGAGAATCATTGTAGAAATAATATCATGGACTTCTATGTTTGACATATAACACACAAAATTATAATTTTCTATTTCAAAGAAAATGTAAATACATATTTTGTTAGCCCATCTATGAGAGCTTTATGCCAGAATTTGACAATTCACAGTCCAAGAGAATTTCAAAAAGAAAGGGCAGAATGCATTGACATTTAGGTGAACACAAAATTTTATCCCTTGTTACATATAAATAAATGTTATAATTCACAAGCAGTGAAAATACAAATTTCTTTTACTGGTAATAGTATTAATCTTCACCCTCCATACACCTTCTCCAAGAAGCTAATGCATTTTATAAAATGTAATGTATTTTTAAGTATTAAAGGAAAGTCTCCTCAATTGTATAACTAAGGATTCTTTTCAGATTAAATATACATATATCAGTATATATCAGTTTTTTCTTGTTACAAGGTATCCAAATAATAAATTTTATGTAATTAGTAATACTTTAAAGAAAAGCTGAATTATTATCTGATAGTTAAAACATTTTGATCTATTTGGAGTGATTCTAGGTTAAATAGCTCTACCCAAAGTCTCTCATTTTATTTTCTCCCTAGAAATACACCAACAAAATCATTGATAATCTGAAGCCATTCATGGATTTCCCAAGATCATTTTGGAAATGCCAATTGTATTTATGTACATAATAGAGGCCTGGTGCACGAATCCGTGCATGAATGGAGTCCCTCTCCTAGCCAGCTCAGTCTCGATAAGGGCCAGCCAGCTGGGGACCATGTCAGGGCTCCCGGGCATGTGGAGCCCTACTGGCCAAGTCCCCATTGGCCGGACTTCAGCAGCAAGCTAACTTACCTGTCAGAGCACCTGCCCCCTGATTATCAGTACACAACATAGCGACTGTTCAAGCGGTCGACCAAACAGACATTTAGCATATTATGCTTTTATTATATAGGATGTGTGCGTATACCTGCACACACATAATCCATAAGAAGTGATCTAAACAATGTTTCTCTTCCTCCTCCAGAAAACCTACAGGGACTTCCGATTGCAGGGTGTGTTAGAAGGCACGCTGAACAGTAAGACCTACGACACTGTGCACAGACGGTTGACAGTGGAGGAGGCTACAGCCTCCGTTTCGGAGGGAGGCGGACTTCAGGGCATTACCATGAAGGACAGTGATGAAGAAGAGGAAGCCTGAGGGGGTGCAGCCCATGGGAGTTAGCAGTCCTTGACATTGCTATATTCTGTCCCTGGTCCTTGCAGTGACAGTGTTTGACCAAATAAAAATGCTTGTCCTTCACTCCACATTTTCAAAAGTAAACCTGGAGGCAGAAATAAAGGGGGAAAGGTCAAGCTTGCTAAGTTTTTTTGTTTTGTTTTCAAGAAGATCAGCCTCTTCTGTGTCGCTTGACCCAATATGAGCTTTGGCTCTGTTTGTGATTAGTTGACTTTAGTTGACTTTTTTTTTTTTCTGTCATCACATCAAAATAGTGTCCTGTGTGTGAAGTATGTATTTCTCCTAAGACAACATTGTGAGAAATCACTTCTGTTCGCTCTGCCAGCTCTGCCGTACCTGTGTTAAAGTGGTCTGCACAGTTTATTATGTATGTCCAAGGTTTGTTTCATAATTAATTTGTCATTGTTGTGATGTGTGAGAAAACATTAAACTTGGTTCTTAGGAATCTGCATTGGTCTGCAGGTATATTCCTGGGCTTAAAGGACTGCCAAAGCCAAATATAGGCCGGATTACCCTTGTGTCTTGTTCCATTCTGAACATTTATTTTTTCAAATGTAAAAAAAAAAAAAAATCCCAAAGTGTGGGTTAGTGAATGTGCTGCCATAATATACTTTACTCTCCTACTTGTAAGAGCTTGCAGGTAATAAAAATCCATTTATTCATAAGCACTTCTGTATTTATTAGACTTGTATAGATTAAATACAGTAAAAATGTTCGCAGTATTACAAACATCATAACAATTTGGCTCTGTTTTGTTTCTTAATTTTTTGTCTCGTTCACAATCAAATGAGTAAAAAATATGAATACTTCTTTGCACCTGGTAGGCACACACATTTGTTAAAAGACAGTACTAGGACAGCATATTTCCATATCAAAGGTAGTGTTAACTACATGATTAGATATGTATTATTAACATTAGCAATTAGTGATAACTAATAATTAGTTAATACTAGAATGCTGGTACTGTTAATTAGAAATTAATTTACTAACAGTTATTTCTTCCCCCAAAGTATTTTCTTGCAACAATTTTGAAAGATAAATAACAGTAGTATGCTATGAATTTTTGTTTTTGTATTTTTATTTCTAAAATATGTTGGCATGTTTGCTACTGAATTCATTCATACATAATGTTTCCATTAAGTCAGTTAATGCAAAATAAGTGGAGTTATCCCTGAATTCTATGTAAACTTAAGTTCCAAAACTTTGGAAGTGAAACAACTTCTTGGATGTTTAAATTCATTCCACCTTTGGTGTTATAGATGGTGACTTGGTACCCCGATTAGCCCACAACAACCTACTTCATCCAAATTATTATATAATACTTCCAGGTCCTAGAGTAAAAGAACCTATGATACAAGGTCAACATGAGAGGAGATTTCTTGCCCTTTCTGGGTTCGAGACTAACTCTACCACTCAGTAGTTTTAACAGGGAGTTTGTCTTAGAATGCTGTCCTTCCCTCTCTTTCCATCTTTGGGTTCAGGACTATCTTTTCTTATGCCCTTAGGTGTTCAGACATGTTCCCCTAAACCCCCAAGCTTGCTGCTTGCTACATAGCTCAAATTGTTCTATGCTTAGAAATTACCCACTGTTGTCTTCCGTTCAATAAAATGTCTATTTCCTTGATACAGTTCATCTCAGTGAAATTGGCCCATTTTGTCCTAAAGTATGAATGACTGGTGACCATCTCTTAACCCTGGGTGTGTGTGGAATCCTATATGATAAAGAGGTAATATGCAAATTGACCATCACATCCTCACAAGATGGCTGCCTATGATCAGGCCAGCAGGGGGGTTAGTGAGGGATGACCAAATGACTGAATAGCAGGCTGGGTGGGGCAAACAGGCCAGCAGGGGTGGAGGGCAGTAAGAGTTGACCAGATTCGGGGGGGAGGGGGAAGAAGTTAGGGGCAACCAGGCTGGTGGGGTAGGGTACAGTTAGTGGCAAATAGGCCAGCAAGGGGAGGGGGGCATTAAGGATGACCAGGTTGGTGGGGGAGGCAGTTGGGAGGGAACAGGCAGGTAGGGAGGGGGCAGTTGGGTGCGACCTGGCCAGCAGGGGGGGTAGGCAGTTAGGGGTAATCAGGCCGCACACAGAGGCAGTGAGGGGAGATCAGGCCAGCAGGGCAGGGGCAGTTAGAAATTGCCCACCAGGCAGGCAGACAGGTGAGCAATTAGGAGCCAGTGGTCCAGGACTGTGAGAGGGATGTCTGTCTGCCAATTGGACATCCCCCAAAGGGTCCTGGGTTGGAGAGGGTGCAGGCTGGGCAGAGGGGACTCCCTTCCCTCTCTCTACCCCCTCCCTCCACCCCAAATTAAGCGGGAGGCATGTATTTCAGGGGAAAGTTCTTGGGGCCTGCAGGAGGGCCTTGCTGCTGGCTTCACCTAGTTCACCTCTCTAATGGCCCTCTTTGCTAATCGGCCTCTTTTAGCTTCTCTCTAGATTGGGGGGTTCCCTTCCCTTGGGTACCCATCCCAGCCTCCACCCCAACAGCGAGAATAACAAAAGCAGGTATAAGGACTGAAGACTATCCTTTCAGTCCATGGTGTGTAAAGAGAAACTTATAAAACAACCCTAACAAAGACTGAGAAGTTGCTTGTGGTTTTTCCCAGAAATGCCCCTCAACATAACTACAAATTGCTTGAAATGACTTCATAATTGTTCATTGGTGTGTGTAACTGTTAGGGTGAATACCCAAGCATCTGTCTATTAGAGGAAGCCAAGTTTTTTGTTTTTGGTTTTTTATTAAGTATCATTTTTTAAAAGGAATTTAATTGAAAACCAAAGAAGTCTTGCAGTGAAAGATGTTGAAAACCATTTTTTAACCCCAAAGAAATAGCTCTACCCTCCTGAATGGACTTGTGGGTGGGCAAAAAAAACAAAAACACACATTCTCTGCACAGTTTGGTGAGTGTCACTGGGAAAAATACCATCTAAAGTCCGGGCCGCAGCGGGTTTGTTAAGTAACTCGTCTGGAAGGGGACTTTCTCCAAACACATGTTGGAGAAAAAAATCCTGAAAAGACTTTCCAGGCGAGGGAGAGAACCACAGAGCTTCAGCTCAACCTCCGGCTGCAGTGGTGGGTCGCTCTGGCATTCACGGGTTTTCCCACTTGGATTCCCTTTAGTTCTTGTTCATTGTCCCTCCCTCTGGAGGAAGGATTTCTTGCTATCTTGGCAGAAAATGTCCTGCAAAGTGTCCCTGGGCTCCCACACCGCCCCCAGGGTCTTGGGGAGGCATGGGGGGGGGGGGCTGATACCGCCCTCCTTCCCCCAGGATTGGGGTGAGCCCTGGAAGGGGCGCTTCAATGGAAAAGAGGTCACATGTCTCTGGAAACCCGCTGTGTCCCCCCTTACACACACACACACACACACACACACACACACACACACACACACACCGTGAAAAGGGCCCTGGGCTCAAGGATGCCCGAGGGATTCCCCCAGCCCCTCCCACCACCCGCTGGGTAGAAGGACCCAAATGGGGGAGTAGAGCAAGAGCTTGGTGGTTTTTATTTCTTACTTCCTATGAGACACGGAACTTCTCGGTCCTGGAGAAGTGGGAGCTGGTAGATCTGAAGGGAGCTGGTGGGTCTGAAGGGAGCTGGTAGATCCATGTTCCCGAAATGGTCAGGTCCCTAGCATCCCGCATCTACTAGCTGGCAGAGCCACCCTTCACCGCAGCCACAGCCCCATCGCCCGCCCTGCACGCACCCTCCCGCATGGCTTGTGCTGGATTTGGAGGCCTGGTCTGTGGGGCTTGGGAGGACTGTATCCACCTACCTTTCCCATGAGTCCCCCCACGCCCTGCCCAAGTCCCTATGGAGATGGTGGGGAGAGGGTCTGCTTTCCCCTTGGAGCCGGCTGGTGGGCCACAGGGACTCTGGGGAGGCCCGAGTGCAATTGGCCCAGAACTTCGCTGCAGATGGAGCCGCGTGGGGAGAGGGGGATGGGGTTGGGACCCTTGTGCAGGGCTGGGCAGGTTCTCCCTCTGCACGGGCTACTCAGGACTAGGGGGAGGCAGAGCTGCTGGAGCTGCCCTTTGGGGACTGGGAAGTGAGACACTCCAGGGAGGGCGGAGCAGGCAGCCTGGGAACCTGGCTTCCAGGAGTCCCAAGTGGCCTTTGTGGGTGCCAAACGGGATTGAGCGTTCTCAGGGAGCAGTGGGCACTGAGTGTAAGCATGTACCACCCAGGGCAGAGAAAGTGAGGCAGAAGGATCCGATGTTTTCCCAAGTGAAGAAGGCCCTGATTTAAAGAACTGCCCCAAGCCACCGTAATGAGCTTCGGAGCAAGAAAATCCTAGGTGTGCATCCCAGCAGCTTCCTCTTCCTCACCTCTGCGCTCTGTGGCCTTGGGCAACTTACTTCCCTCTGAAAAAGGATAGACGGTGGTTGCAAGGAGTAGAGGCATATAATAAGTTGTGGCCATTATTAACTGTTCCTTTTTAAAAACACAGTTTTATTGATTTCAGAGAGGAAGGGAGGGAGAGATGAAAACATCAATGATGAGAGAGAATCCTTGATGGGCTGCCTCCTGCACACCCCCCACACTGGGGAGTGAGCCAGCAACCCAGGCATGTGCCCTGCCTGGGAATCAAACCTGACCTCCTGGTTCATAGGTTGACACTCAACCACTGAGCCACACCGCTGGCAACTGTTTCTTAAAGTGGGGCAGGATCAGAGGATACCAGGGGTGCCTGCCTCTGGCACTGGCTCCACCAGCCTCACCAGCCATTCTCCCTGGGAGTGGCACCGGCCTGCAGTCAGCCCCGCCCCTGGCCCTGGCATGCCCTGATTGGACTGGCTCCGAGGGTCTAGCTCCTGGGTTATTTATATATGAGGCCAGCCTGGTGGGAGGAGGGAAGGAGGGGCAGGGCAGTCTCACTCTTGTCTCCAGAACAGCGGCTTCTGAGAGCAGCCCCTTCCCCCACCCAGCTGCAATTCAAAGAGAAGGCAGCTGGAG